GTCACTAGCTCAGACGTCACTAGGAAATTCTGGAACATTCCGTCAATTATCCAATCAGAACACAGCTAGCTCGACGCAGTGAAAGGCTATTGGTTGGATGGTCAATGCTGTTGCCGTATTATGGATTACGAAATACTACGTCAATATCTAAAGTGATGTCCTCGTGTTTTAATTAATCGAGCCCAAAATAAAATTTACCTTGCATAAAATTGTTAAATTGTTGTTAAATTCTACGACAAAACACTAAACCTAAATAAAAAATGTGTATAATAATATGAAAACATACACGATTCACAATTTTTTTTTAAATTTAAAATATTGGTACCATCCGAAGTGGATTTTTTGGCATTGTAACTAGAGTTTTGGATTGTTGGCCTTGAAGCTAAACTTGCTTATTGCAAAATCAAACAAATCAGAATCAAAAGTAATTTTAGAAAAAAAAATGTAAACATCATCAAAGTAAAAAAATCTAAAATGCTATCACATATATGTACATTTATATATTATCAATTAATTTATGGTTCTTCTTGTTTTCATGGATTACCCCACCTTTGGAGGCATTATAGACAAATTATATGTATAGTATAGTCATATCTATGCCTTCTACGCATGTCTATACTTTCCGTGCCTTAAAAATAATATGGCTGAATATTACTATTTAATACGCTAAAACTTACTGTAAGTTAATGTATATTTTTACGGTAAATAACAAACTGTCAGCCACGAAAGCATAAAGTCGTAGCCTGTAAATTACTATATTTGGAGAAGTCTCTACTTTAGCATTCTGCGTACATTATTTTATCAAAGTTCATTATTTTATCAAGAAAAAAGTTCAAAATAATCTGAACTTTACTGAAAGTAAAATATCTATCTATGGGTTTATGGCGTTTCCTTTTAGATTTCGCCAATGTCAAGTGACAAGTGTATTACTCTGCTTTCTATAGCGGGCTTCGTGAACGAACAAGGTCCCAGATTGTAACTAAGAATTAAGTGAGTAGCTAAGAAAGTAAAATAAATTAAATGATTTATCGTTTGAAATTATATACAACACTACACATATGCCATAGACTTTTTGTTGTTCTCGTTCAACTGAATAACGAAAGAGATCAAAACTCATACAGCCAAATCCTTTATAGGCTTATTTTCGTTGCCATGCTCGTAATCAGAGTGATTAAATTATACAATAGCTATTGGATTGGATTCATGACCTCGTCTGATGCAAGTTGTCTGTCAGCCACTTTCGTTTGAGATTAAGAGATTACGAAACAAGAAATTATTAAAACGACGAGCGCCTAACCCAGGTTAAATTAAGTGATTTCCGCTTATTAAAGAACAATTCTCAAATATTTATCAAATATCAAAGACAAACGAGTGAACAAACCTCTTGATTGAAAGTGACCACGGCAGTACATTAACTAATTAATACGAAACCACAGCAATGACACCATTATGGAAGCAATCAAAAATAGTTGCAAGGTATGTTAATGAAATTTAAATGATGATTCGATCAACATTATTGTGAAATGTTAATGATTCTATTCATTAAATGGTATTTATAAGTGTATGATCTATGGTTAGCGTCATTTTTTGCTCCGGAGGATGTTGTATTTACACGTATAATAGCCGGCAAACTTCTTGAGCATTTGTCGACGTAGTGGGGGTAAGTTCGCGCATGGTACACTCACGTGCAAAAACAATATTTACTCTGCGTCATAATGCTATTAAATTATTAAAATCAATATATTATGTATTTAATATAGGTTAATAATTGTAATAATTTAATCTTGGGGTAAAATAGATTTTCCTTCTATTAAGTCAAAACTAGAGCTGTTGCCAGGTCTTGGTTCAGTTGAAGCGAAGCTGGTATTTGTAATTTTTTTTTCGTTATCATAATCTTGACCATCATCATCATCACTGTTTTCATCACCCGAGTCGCTATCATCGTGATGAGTCGACATAGGGCTCATCGGTGTAGTTTACAACTCGGTCGGTTCGGTCTTCTTTTTTGTCTATAATTAATTATTTTTTGAAGATATTCGATTCGTAGTAATCGAATGTTACTTTTTTCAATTACCAGCTTCCGATTATTTTTTTTTTTTTTTTTCCATCTGAAGCCTAGCTCTTTCATAATTCGTCGTAAACTTCATTCCGAGCCATTAAAATGTATATCTTCTTTAAAATTTTCGAAGCCTTTCTACGGTACGGAGTTTCGCTGCTTGTTATGTAGTTATTATGATTACATCTTTTTATTACAGATTGAACGAAACTATCCATTCCGGTAACTTTCTTCTTCCCTGATCTTTTCTTACCCGGAGTCCCAAGCACGATGAGCAAGCCAGAGCCTTTAGCTTCGTTAATAATGCACCTAACAGTACTCACTGATGTTTTTGTTGCTTCCGAAGTCTGTTTTACTTTTTCCATAATATCATTCTTCCCCTGTTTTATAATGAAGCAATATACGTCGTACACAATTTTTCTACCCTTTCTTTTGAATACTACACCAGTTTGTCGCGGCATAGTGTATTTTTTATAAAAAATCAACAAACACTCAACAAATAGCAATGGCAACAAAGTCAACAAGCAATTATAACAAATAACTTAACGATTAATAACGATAGACTTTTTACTGTACGCAAGCGTACTTTTGGGAGCAAGCGGAACGAGGGCGCGGTGCGGGACGCAAGGTTCGACTGATCTACCAATAACGCGCTCGATACGATTTCCCCTGCCGTCGCGCCTCACCCTCACCACCAAAGTGATCTAAAATTCGGTTCTGCGCAGTCAAGGTCATTTGCTCACGAAGTTTGCCGGTTACTATAACATAATTAATTTGCATTCAATCGTACTGTGTACCTATGTGGATTGCGCGGTAATTTTGAAATATGGATGATCCAAATTTGAATATGAATTATGGCTCTCCACTGTGTGACCTAGATTTTGTGACGACGACAATTTTCGGGAGGCGAAGTTTCTGGAATTTCGCCTGATATTTTTGCATGATATAGAGAGCGGTTCGTCTAGAAACCCAGCTTTCACAAATCAAATGGACATTTACATGATGACTCATAGCGTGCGTAATTAAATTAATTTTTCCCAGAAATTCTGTAAAGTTCATTGTGTTCCACAAAATTATCGATGATCTCACGAATCTTCGAGTATATACGGGAAGTACTCTGAGGAATTGCTTAAGATTATCTGATTATCTTATATTATGCTTATTATTATAACAGTACGACCCAGCACCGGAGCAGGCGATATTCGGGAATTACTTTAACTTTGGCACAGTCTAATTTTTTTTTTATTGGCCGAGCAGGCAGACGAACATACGGCCCACCTGATGGTAAGTGGTTACCGTCGCTCATGGACGTCAGCAATGCCAGGGGCAGTCAAGCCGCTGCCTACCGCGTAATACTCTCCACAAGCCTCGTTCGAATAAGGAAATGTCATAGCGCTCGGGAAACACCGTGGAGGATATTAGAGGGTCTAGAACGTTCCTCCACTAACAAGTTTGTAGAGTCACCAGCAGTTTAGCAATGGTTAGTTTGGAGTTTGGCCCCACATGGCGCTGGAAGTCGTTTAATGGTTTAATTTTCTATCGTTTTCCTCACGTTGAGAACGTAATAGGGAGGGATAATAATAAAAAATATTTGCTTCAGATAATTTATTACAACAATCCCATACAAATTTTCATAATCGTAATTTTTCAACTAACAACTATTAATATCAAAAAAACAAATTGAATTACATCAAATACCAATTCATTATTTACCGAAAAGTAATTATAATGATATTATTTACGCATGTATTACGCTTAATAATTATTAGATAAGAATAATTTGATGCTGCGACTATTTTTATTAAAGACGCGTAAGAACGCGTTAGATGTAAAACTAGCGAAAAGAACCGGTCGAATAATTGCGCTTAATAATTACAGTTAAATAAAATGATTTGTTTTCAATTAAATTTAAAATAAGAGTAATGAATACATAGCTTTTTTAATTCATAGTACAACTTCGGCCGAAACAATATTTGATATTATAAATGCGAAAGTCAGTTTTAAAAAGTAAACTCTTCTATGACCGCTTAGTAGTGGAACAATAGAACGCTTCATTTTTTTTTTATGATTGAAGGATTGCTGGTGGCCCGTAGGCCTTTCCAGTTTCACCAGGACAAAACACTTCATACATTCATAGTCAATAGAACAGTTCAGTTCATACCTATTAATTATTTATGAATTTCAGTTTAGTTTTACACTACGAAGAGAGAGTTACAAATATACAATAATTTTATAATAACTCTACGTTAGATTAACAGAAAGTAAATAACGTAAAATTAACGTTATCTACAGAGCTAGACGCCGCACTAGACAAGGGTCTAAGCACCATAGGTCGCGAGACTATTTGTAATTAACATCATAGTTATAGCTCATTATATTAGAAACACATAAGAATAACAAACTAATGTAGCACACAAACAGGTTTAAACATAACACAAAAATCACAAACTTACACAAACATAACAAAAGTTATCTAATAATAATAATAATAATAATATAAATAATATTGTTTTTTCAATGCCATTTCGTGTAGTACCCCTACGAATTTAACGTGACTTATAAATAAATAATACAAAAATGGTAATTTTTAAGGTCACCGAGGTTTATTCACACTTATGTAGATAATGTTGCTAATATTTCAGGATTCTTTAGATATGTCATGAATTTTATAATAGAACGAACAGATTGGTTCGCTCTGTGTGCAACCGGTTAATTTATATAAATATGTATTTACTGGTGGTAGGACCTATTATGAGTCCGCGTGGATAGGTACCACCACCCTGCCTGTTTCTGCCGTGAAGTAGTAATGCGTTTCGGTTTGAAGGGTGGGGTAGCCACTGTAACTATACTTGAGATCTTAGAACTTATATCTCAAGGTGGGTGGCGCATTTACGTTATAGATGTCTATGGGCTCCAGTAACCACTTAACACCTGGTGGGCTGTGAGCTCGTCCACCCATCTAAGCAAAAAAAAAAGTATAAGTATGTATCGGTTCCCGTAGTAAAGGGAGCCCTACAGGACGCTTGACTGGGTGTAATTTGTCTTACATTATTTATTAAAATTAAAACACAGTATATAAATTTGTAAAGCTGATTTAAATCTTAAGATGTCATTGATTTTAACATAATTTTAAACGACGAGTAAAAAACCCATTGAATAAATTATCAACTATTGTTTCATTGTAATATTATTCATGACACAGGTCAACAGTACTCATGACACCCGAACTTTCTGTCGAGAAATTTGAATTCAAACTCACACCATTACAATCCATAAATATAATAACTATAATCAAATTAAAGGTACTTTTTTTAATGTACATACATAAGAATAATATCTTACTATTATTTCAGAACTTAAAATGATATAATAATCAATGTTGAAAAATCATTCCAGAGAAAGCCAACCTGTGAAAAATTAGTTTGCTGTACATCAAAATATATATGTACATGACATGTACATAACATGGACTTTTTCTTTAACTTTTTTATATTTATGTTATCACCAATTGTCACATGCTCTGAATAACTTTACTATTAACATTGAAATGCAGATTTCTCAAGCTTTGTTGGTAATTATATTCATAATAATAAGTTATTATTATTAGTTATTATTGTAAAGTAGCTCTGAATCCACGATGTGTTGGCTATTCATATTTGTGAAGTTCATGAGCATCAGTGGCCACTGACCAAGATACTTTTTTGCATAATTTTTTGTTATATTTTGTTTTTATTTTACATTTAAAAACCTTCTTATATCTTAGATTCAGTTTCCTCCGGTAAAATGTTTCAGCAAACTTTAAACCTAATGATGTCTTTTATTATTTATTTATTGTAAGTATGGCTTCAAGTACTACCTACTGCAAATTTCAAGTAATATTAATAGATAAGAACAGTTAATTACAAAGTCAAAACTGGGTGAAGGCTGATCCTTGCGGATATCGTCAGACACGAGATGGTGTGCGTCGTATCAACATAATTGTACCGAGAAATTTCCTTGGAGTGCTAACGTTAACACAACATTCGTCTCTAAAATCACAACACATGCTTTGGCCACTTCAGGGTAATGTCCCACAATGATCTTCGACTAGAAAACTACATATATAATTTAAAACGAATACAGATAGCAGCATCAGCATCAGGAGATCCTGAAGTAACTCTGGTAGGCGGCTCCCAGCGCGGTGGTCACGAACCACGCGAAGCTGCACCACCACGTCGCGAAGCCCAGCACTCCGCGGCACACCTCCGCCGTGAACACCTGGAGACATTCCACTAACTTTACTAATTAAACAGGACACTTCCGTTGTTTGCTAATTTTTATATCGAAGTTAGAGACGAATTCCCAAAAAATAATACATAGATAAATATTTTTCTTTCGAATACTACAACAAGAGAAACCGTTTTAGTACCGGTAAGTTAAAGAAGCGTCAGAACGCTACTTTGAAAAAGCAGCGTGGCACGATAAACCTTTTATCGTAGCCACCGTTAATTACCCGACCGCGACGGGGCAACGCAAAGCCGCCGTCGCCCGAAACATGTCTTGTCGGATCCCCCAGATTCACTCTCGGTGCTTTTAGGCCTCTCAAACACCGGTCACCGTCCGAGCGAACTCGTCGATTACGTCTTCTTAGTGGGTAGCGTTACCGATCCGGTGGTAGATTCAGCGAAGCACTGCTCTTGCTGGGGCTAGTGTTAGCAAATCCTCTCAGGTTGAACCCGTGAGCTCACCTACCCGTCGGGGCGTAGCTGGAATAGCCTGTAAGGCTACCAGCGGTAGGGAAAGATAAAAGAGAAATCGTTCATATCAGTGGAGCTGTTCTGAAGTGAGGCCCGCCACGCATATGTCGATTGGATTTAGGAGGTATTTGATTGTTTTTGTTGCCTTTAGCAGCGGCCCCGCTGAAGCGGACACCGACAATGTCAAGAACCACACTGAAACCGCTGTCTATCAAATTTAGTAGATGTCTATGGGCTCCAGTAATTATTTAACACCAAGTCAGCTGTGAGCCCATCCAACAATTTAAGCAATACAAAAAATAGTGGATTTCTTCTAGTTTAGACATAACGTCGTATTAAATATTTAGCATTTAGGAAAATTAAATCAAATCGCGGGACGTGGCCGTTTGTTTTCCTCTAAAAGCTCTGAGCTTTCAGTGAATCCTTGCCGTACGTTGCCGGACCGTGTAATTACCATCTTCAGGTTTTCCCAGGCCAGCTGGTATTGCTCCGCGCCTGCGGGGGCGGCGGGGGGTGCGGCGGGGGGCGCGGGGAGGGGCGCGGCGGGGGGCGCCTCGTACAGCAGGCTGGTCCACGCGTGGCCGCCCAGCGTCTTGTACATCAGGGCCAAGTACAGCATCATGATCACGGGGCAGATGTACTGCAGCGCCACCACGCACAGGTAGTAGAACACCGAGGCGACCTGGGAAAGTTCACTCGGCGTCAACTTCATTACGTCAGGCTGAACCGAGCTTCCGTATGTGTGACGTCATTTGCAGTTAAACTAAATGACAAGTCATTTTTACTATTTTTTATTGCGCAAATGACCGGAGCCCGCAGACGTGACGGCTGGTGACGGTGACGTCACCGTCTGCTGTGACAACGTGGTGTCGAACGTGGCACTCGGACCCTTCCTGTGCCGTGGTCCAACAACAACAATGAACCGTGTTGTTTCAAAATAAATTAAATATTAAGTAAATATTTACTGGTGGTAGGACCTCTTATGAGTCCGCATGGGTACCACCGCCCTGCCTATTTCTTCCGTGAAGCAGTAATGCGTTTCGGTTTGGGGGGTGGAGCAGCCGTTGTAACCTGACCTTAGAACTCATATCTCAAGGTGGGTGACGGCATTTGCGTTGTAGATGTATGTCTATGGGCTCCAGTAACCATTCAACACCAGGTGGGCTGTGAGCTCGTCCACCCATCTAAGCAATAAAAAATAAATCTTTGTAACTCAATGTTTATTTATTATTTTTATGTTCTCACCTTTTTCTGTAAATCGATATTGGTTATCCTGCCGGCCTCTTTCTTCTGCACGTCGAGCCTCCGCTGTGCAATGTCCAGGTAGGCCTGCAGCTGCCGCGGCATCAGCGCCACGCGCAGCGCCGCCGCGCACACCACCAGCACGATGCGCAGGGTGTCGAAGGCCTGCGACGTCATTCTGAAACGTAAGGCCAGGTTGGAGTTGGGCACCGCGACACGTGGTGCGGGGACCGGATACACGCGGTATTGGCGACACTATAATTGTTTTTTTTTAAAGAATTTTATGACCTAGTAACTAAGACCTTTAGTTTGTCTTGTTTTAATTTATATTCTTATTTTTATGAAAAATGATAATATGGAGCGAAATGAAATGAAGTTGGGATGAAATTAAATGAAATGAGATGAGATGATATGGGATGAAATATAATCTCAGTAAAATGATGGTCATTTACTGGGATTTTTTCAGTGGACTTTTTGGAGGATCCCGAGAAGTTACGTCCAGCGACTTTGTTTCATTTTCCCACATTTGTGTACTTTCATAGATACTAAACAGTTAATAAACCACCGCTATTACACATTTAAGCCTGAAGAAACACTGAATAGACAAAATAAAACAAATTACACAATTTCATTCCTCTCGTTCTCGCCAAAAGTCCTCCTTTTTTGCCATATCGCAACACTATATTTGAGCTAATCAAAATAAAAAAGGCATAATTTTAAAAGAACAAAATTTGTGTATTTTTCTTACATTAATAACATGACGAAAACATACAAGAAATAATTTAAAATTTATTAAGTCGAGCCACATAACTTGATTTTTGAGCTTCAGTTTTCATTTAAACAATTGACCAAGCAGGTAAGACTGGTTAGAAATATTATCATGGGCAATAGAAACAGTTATTATCACACCTCCCGTAATATTACGTCAAGAGCAGTCAAAATTAAATGGCAATAGGCCCAATGACAATATTGCCATATTCAAACAAAATAGACTGCAATGGGCACTTTTTCTTTTCAGAAAAGTTTCCAATTTAAAAATGAACTGTTAATATTTTAATTATGTGGATCAAGTTTTCATTTTTACTACTATATAATATGATTTGGTTATCTACTACTATCACTGTTGTTCTTACGTTTGTATAAAAATAATAACAGGATTTTTTTAATGGGTAGTCAAGCTCACATTACACCTGGTGGTAGGACATCTTGAGTCCGCACTGGTAGGTACTACCGTCCTGTCTATTTCTGCCATGAAACAGTAATGCGTTTCGGCTTGAAGGGTAGGGCAGCCGGTGTAGTGTTAAAACTGAGACTTAGGACTTATGTATCGAGGTGGGTGGCGGCTTTTACGTCGTAGGTCTCTATGGGCACCGGTAACCACTTAGCAGCAGATGGTCTTTGAGCTCGCAAACCCACCTAAGCAATAATAAAAAAACCTTGAATCTCACCACCCACCATGACTTCACAGAGACTTGGGGACGAATTCTCTATTGTATTGTGTAAAGGACTGGACTTTCAAATGGAATACATAGTGGCTTCACAGCAGAAACTTAAGAGTTGGTCACCTAAAGGCTGAGAACATGTTATGCTCAGAATTAAACAAATAATTAACTTACAAAGGTTTCTCCATCCCGCTGAATACTCGAGCTGTGAGGTAGTGCCTCGTAATTGGACGCACCCACAACAGTACAAGTATGAACGGCAGAGCAAAATTAAAATTTAGCAACAAATACTTTATTTTGTTTTCTCCGTAGTACCTGAAATTTTAATAAATTTCGAGTTTAACGCATTTTAGATACATAGTCTATAAATATATGGAACGATTTAGTAATCACCTTCCTACATCAAGTTTTTTTTGAATTACAAATACAAATACAAATATTTACTAACAATCACGCCACGTTAACTGGTCCCGTGCTAAGTTCGTAAAGAACTTGTGTTACAAGTACCAGATACGGGAAATAAATATAATATTTTTATTATACACATACATATATTTAATTTTAATATATAAATAAATAAATACTATTACATGGTATAGAGGCAATTCCATCCATTGTTTCGCATAATACGATTTTTTTTTATTCAAACAATATTTGTTATGTATCAGAAAATCTGAATTGATATTAATTGAACAAAGATGTTGCGATTCATTTTACTAGAAATATTTTAGAATTCATCTTTGTTATTGTTAATAGGCATAAATCATTTACGTACCTCAGTGAGTCCCAATGCATTCTGGAGACTCTGAATCCCGGAAATGTAAATATGGTACCAATGATCGCAGCCCACACGGCAAAAGCAAACTTTATCACAAGCTTGGATGCTGGACCACTGAAATTTATGAAATTACGAGATTTTTATATTTATAAATATAGAATATTTATAGAATAGAAATCTGTTACAATCTTTAAACAAATACATGAAATGATATGGAATTTAATCTTTGCTATGAATAGGCTACCTTAGATAATGCTAAATAGCAATACGTCGACCATACAAACAAGCACTGCTTTTAAAATTAATTAATTTTCTTTAACATTGAATTAAATTTTCTATTTTCTCTCTCATCTTATTAACTAAATTTTTTATATATTTCCTAATAAGTAAGGATGTAGTGAAGTGGATGAGAATTGTCTCCAATCAAACATTATAACATAAGAAAGGATAGATCTATGCTCAACAGTGGCTACCAAAGGGCTAAAGGTTAGGATGAAGGCTGTTGTGAGTCAATTTTAGGGAGAACCACTATCTTCACTACAAGCTGAAAGGCGCGGCCCTTTGGTGGATAGGACTGCCATTCTACAGTAAAAATTACACTTCCACCTCATGGTTAAAGGGGGTTGCAGTATATCATTTTGACTTTTGATCGTAACATTTTAATATCTTCAATTTAGAGAACAATTCTCAGATGTTTCCCACCTGGGATTTCCTAAACAATAAAACCACAGTTGATAGGTTTTGGTAGTTTTTATCAACCATGAAGCTAGTTGTAGACTATATTGAGTGCACAGAATAGATGCTACCACCCTATCTGATTCTGCATTTTAAAGTAATACGTTTTGGTTTGAATGACAGGGCAACTATTGTACCAGTATAACTGAGACCTCATACCTCAAAGTAGACAGAGACAGTCACACGGATATCTATTGGCTTTGATAATAGATAACAATGGTCCAAGTGTAGATTTGCACCAATTTACATTACATGCAAAAATTCATATTCTTTATTATGAATAATAAAAATAAATAGTGACGAAACTCACACAGAACTCAAGCCTTGACTATCGAGAAACTTAGAAGCATTTTCAAAAAAGCTGTCATAAGCAGGGTCCACACCAACTTCCAAGTTTTTTTCATCTACGATCAGTACCATCATGGCTATGAGGAGGAAAACGCAGAATGCGACAATGCATGTTGATCGTTCACCAATTGATTCATCACTTGTGAAATATTGTTTGGTAAGCGATAACAAGATTTTACTGTCATATAGTTAAGGTTTTATATATTTATGGCATGTGTTCCTGTAAACCTGTGCAAGGCAGGGAGAAGAATAATGGACCAAAAGCATTAAATTATATAATGCAAATGAATGGATACTATTATCCTGCCTATATCTACCATAAAGAAGTATCACATTGTCATGCTTTAACATTAGAAGTTGGTTATGATGGAATTTAGGTTGAAATAAATTAGTTGCATTTGAATTTGAATAATGTGTTCTGATTTATAGGGCTTAATGGAGTGTATACAAAAGTGGAAAGCAAAAGTGAGAAAGCCCAGGATAGCTTACATAGGCAAGTAAGTTTATTGCAAAAGGAGTAGATTATTTTCTTCAATAACTTCTTAAGGTCAATCTATATTTAAAATTTATCATAAAAGGATACATTGAAAACAAAATAACGAGAAGACACCAGACCATGCTCAAATTGAACTCATCTTTTAATGGAAATATTGAGGTGTAAACCTGAAATCAAATACCAAAAAAAAATGTAAACTCTGAAGAAATAACATTATTTATGTAAAATTATTTTTACATTTTATTAATTGCATCTGAGACACTGTAGAGAGCAACACTAGGTACAAATTTATCCTCAGACACATATCTATGATGTACTTATTAGAAATGACTTAAACCACTGATGGTGTGAAAGATAGTAGACAATTATTTCAAAAATTTAATCATAATGTTTACATTTTTTTATCTTTTAACACCCTTGTCCATAATTTAATAGAGGATTTATCAAAATTAACATAAAATTGATCAAGTTAGCAGGATTATATCAATCAGGCTGGCTAAATTTTTTCATTTTATATTCTGATTGAGTAATAACATTTCCAACTACTGTATTCAGCCACACTTTTGGAGACTGTTATAAAACCAAAACACCAACTACTTTTAATTACTCTTTAACTCACTGTTGTAACCTTAAAGTAATTTGGTTGCCTTAGCAGACAAACAAGCATACAGCATATGAATAGTTACCACTGATCATTTATATCAGCAATGACAGGGGTACACCCAGGTTTTTGCCTCCCGCGAATATTTATCTGCATCAAAAGCTAGATTTTTTTTCAACCTCTAAAACGGTTTATAGATCACTTGCACTTAAAGCTGTCAGATGGACATCTAACAGAACCAATTAAAATTTACATGAATATTCTCATACCTCAGACATAATGTATACTATGGCTGTATACAATGAAAAATCAACAATCCAAAGATATTCTGTGTAGAATCTCAAATGTACCACGTCCAGCGCAGTAACCGGTGCAGTTTCCAATTGGATTTCCAAGCTTCTAGGCACGTGAAATGTCTCCGGTTTACCGTTACTCTCATATTTACCGCCTTTTTTCCCCTTAGATCTCTCTTTAGGAACCCCAGCCAAATTCTTCAACTCATTATTGTCCGGATACAAATACCGGTATAAGCCCTGAGAGCACAGCAACCACTTCGCGAACGAATAATTGCCCAATTTCTGTATAACTGATACCATGATCAAAGTTATTACAAGCTGAGCCCCCAATAATGCCTGCAGAGGTAAATATGACTATAATTAGAACATGAAACTCTGATACATGAGTTGTGTAACTACAATTAGTGTAAAAAACTGACCATTGTCTCTTTTTCGTTCCCGTTTAAGTTAATTCATAATTTCATACTAATTCATAGTGTCAATTTGCTGAATTATTTTGAATTGAAGCTAAATCTAACCTCAATTTTCACAACAAAATAAAGTTCAATTTTTTTTTTAGTAGGCTTATGGTGCAGTTAAAAAACCTCACAGAAAAGACAAGAATAGAAATATAGCTGTTGTCAAATTGAAATATCAAGGGATCTTTTCTTTAGATTTATTAAAGTAATAAAGTTTATAGAGAATGATAAATGAATGGAAATTTCAAACTGTGTATCCATTAAAGAAAGAAATAAAAGTTTTCAAGTAACATAAAGAAATACAAACACTTCCTTAGCTTTGAATGAAAATAGTTTGGAATGAAACTCAACTATTTGAGTTGCCTATTTGAATAAATAATTATCTGTGCTTAACATTCAGAGTTTTTTTGACATCTTCAAATATTGAGAGCGGGTTCAAGGGATCGGGGCCAGAAGCTGGCCAAAGTACGGGAACCCTCCTACTCTGACCGGGTTCCGACCCCGGGCGGAATTTGATCGTCGGGTGTAAGAGTGCAGGAGAGTTATTCAGTGCGGTAGGGCCCTAAAAATAACCTTAGGCTCGCGGTTCGCAGTCGTGGACAGTCCCACATACAAAGTGCGCCCCCAAGTAGCGTGTGCTTAGTGCGAGTTTCATAACGTTCTCGATAACGTAAAAGTTAAGCCAATTTTGTATGCAATTGGAACAGCGCCCCTACCGGCAAAAAACTCGCACTAAGCACAGCGGAAACCTCGTAGGAGGTTCGGCCCCCGGCCCAAAAAAAGGGAAGTTCGCGTGGTCAACACTACAACCAGACTCGCGGTGTCACACCGAGGACGTCCAACTGACGGGCTATCGAGGTGATCGTTGACGATCATTAAAGCCGGTCTCCGTGGTACAACAGTCCGTCAGGCCATCCGGGCGATGCCGCTGGTGCTACGGGGTACTCCGCTGGGTCAGAACCAGCTTGCCGGGTTGGAACGCGATACCCCGCCGACCGGGTTGTTTTTCAGAGCATCAGTGGGCTTGGTGTATTATTGACATTCTATGGTGGGCTTTCTCATTTTTCGATAATATAGTTTATAGGTACATAATAGTTAATATTTAAGTTTTACCAGGTGCTAAATGGTTGGTAAGTCAATAATAATCCACGTTTAAACCGAAAGAAACATGAAATTATTCAGCTTGAAAAAAAACCACATTTCGGTCCTTGCGTTCCCGCCAGAAAGTCCATAGAGATGACAGGTTTTTTAAAAAGATTTTATGACCTGGTAACTAAGACCATCTGGTAACTAAGGTCATGTCTTATTTTAATTTATGTTCTTATTTTTATGAAAAATGATAATATGGAGTGAAATTAAATGAAACGAAGATAATTAATTTATGACATTAATCAACTGGGATGAAATTAAATGAGATGCGATGAGATGACATGGGATGAAATATAATCTCAGTAAAATGGTGGTCATTTATTGAGATTTTTTCAGTGGACTTTTTGGAGAATCCCGTGATGTTACGTCCAGCGGCCTTGTTTCATTTTCCCACATTTGTGCACTTTCATAGATATTAAACAGTTAACAAACCACCGTTATTACACATTTAAAAATTGACAAAATAAAACAAATCACACAACTTCATTCCTTGCGTTCCCGCCAAAAAGTCCATATGACAAGTAAAAAATAAATGTTACCAGAACTCGATACTACTAGATTTTAAGGGTAAAAAAAGTATGTTTCTGGTAATGTTAATGTTATCTAAAAGTATTGAAATGTTATGGTTTTTATTTCGTTAAAAATTTGTACTTTCATGTTTGAGTACTTTGTCATTTATCGAAACGAAAGCTTATAAATTTTACAGAGATGCACATCTGAAAATTTTGTAGACAGTTATTTTTATTGGCTATTAAAAAAATGTTCAGGAAACAGTATATTTCTTAGAGCGCATTGATTTATCTTTTTATTTAAGGCGCTTTTTGTAATTCTTATATCCAGCAGGCTATGATTAATCTAGACCGAGTGAATAAAAAATGCTATTTTATACTATAATGTTATGTAAACTGTAAACTAATAACTTCCTATGCGATTTAATCATAGCCTTTTCCTTTACGTTGAAAATTTGTATTTAAATGCATATGTTTGCTTTGATCCATGTGCTCACAATCATTAAAGGTTTTACGATAAAGTGTTTTTAAAAATGTTTGAAAGAAAATGAAAACTTTTCTGTCCTTGGAAATTTTACCGCTCTGGGCACTAGCTTCCATTGTCTTTATTGTGAATTTATTACCGTTTACATGACTCTCAAAGTAACTCATTTATAAAAAAAAATATCCTTGTGTAGGCAAATTAAATATGTTAATTTCAACAAGGCATCCCTGAAACAGATGTCCGCGTTGCGCACTGGTGACGAATGTTTGCATCAAAATTTTCATATCGATCAATTTCATCGCACATTTAATCCGGTTTCGTCGCTGCTGAAGTCTGCGCGCAGACGAGCGACGGAGCTTTATTTCAATTTCTATTATTATTTTTGTTTCGTGTAGTGTTATAAACTTTCAAGATGGGGTCTTTGTTTCGGAGTGAGGAGATGACACTATGTCAGCTTTTCCTGCAAAGTGAAGCTGCTTATGCCTGCGTGTCCGAGCTCGGGGAGTTGGGGCTAGTTCAGTTCCGAGATGTGAGTAATATAGCCACATAACTACGTGCGGCGCGTGTCTAACGCCCCTTTTTCGTATTAAGTTCAAAGTATCAAATCGATGAAAAATATTGATGGAATCATGACCTCGTTTTTTGGTACATAGTGGATTATCTTGTACTACATTCAATTTACCCAGTTGTTATTGATTTTACTAGGATCTTAAACGCTCCAAGCTAATTTGTCCAACTTGAATTTGCTGAGGAATGATCATTATTAAAATTAAAATAAGATGTACATTACTGGAAACGTCACCATTTTCGTATTTTGACAATAAAGTCGAATATAATAATATAATTTTATGTTAATACATGTACATTAATAATCAGTAGCTTTTTCAGAAGTAGGTTTTAACAGAAAAAATCTTATAATCATGGGTACTGTGGTTCCTCTTGGTAAACTGCCGTTGAAGTCTTTGTCCTGTATTACAACCTATTACTTCATCTGATGTTCCAATGAATTTTATCTGTAAAAAAAGTATTGAAGCAGGAGAATTTTTACAATGAATTTTTGAGATATATAGCACACAAAAATGAGACAAAGTACATTATTTTATAAAGGAAACAAGTAGGGCATGGGTTACAAAAAAAAAAGAAAAAATTACAACACAAAAATTATGTTAAAATAACTACACTACATTATTTTTTTTAAACCAAAAAGTGAGATACTAAAGTAGTAGTGATGCAACTACACTGGTGCTCAAATCACACCCACAGGTATAATTTTTTTTAAGGCAACAAGTTCGTGAACCGGGGCCTGGATATGACCTCTTTGCATAATACCATCTACAAACTATGTTTAGAAATGGTATTGGAGCTTCAAAGTAGGTAACAAGCAACATAATGATGATCTCAATTATGGTCACATTGGCAAATCCAGCCAATGAAATTATTTTTCACTAATGGAACTGCAAGCCAGTGATGACAATAGAAAATGACTCTCCTTTATACAAATAATGAATTTCACTGCCTATTGAATCCCCATTAGAAATTAGATTCAGGGATGCTTGTTACCTTAAATGTAAATTTTGTGGCTAAAACTGTTGTGTTTATGCAAATAAGATTATCAGATTTTTTAGAAATTACAAATGTAGCAAGATGCTAGCCAGGATCACTTCTGGTTTGCAGTAATTTGTTTTCCAAATATATATCTTTGAGGAGCAGTATGCTTGAGTTAATGCCCTACGGGTCTATGATGATCTCTAACATTTTAACAACTTTTGCTTTTAGAATTAGATGTCAGTTCGGATTTTTATTTGTGACACAAATTAGCTAAGACCATAGTGAGTGTCTAAAAAATATAAAGTTTAATATTAAAAATAAATATACAATACAATAAAGTGTTTATGAATTATTTAAGTGTACTAAATATACATTTCAAGTAATGCCAATATTTTAGGCAAGTTAAATTAAAAACCGAATATATGTCATGTGACTGATTAAAAAAAAAATGTGATTATGATTTCTATGATCGATCAATTTCATTGTATTTAATCAGAGATTAATTTTGGGTTTGGTATCTGTAGATAGTTGTTTTGTGATAAGATTTAACATACCAGTTATATAATTAAAAACTGTTCAATAATAAGTGTTATATAAAAAAAAACATTGTTTTTGCCTATTTACAACTAGGTGCAGATATTAAAACATGCATCTAATTTGTAATTTGATTTGTCTGAAACGCTAATGACGGCTTGTTTTTTTGGAGATTGGGTAAATACTGGACTGTTGGTGTGGTGGGCCGTCAAACCTGAATATATATGTAAATAGTGTCACATTGCTCTACATCCAAGCGTCTGAGCTTGAGACAGAATTCGACAGGGTAATGGAGACCACATAGGGAAATACTCTGCTGGTCCAGCATGATTCTGGTCTGAACCTATGTTCTTTTTTAAAATCCCTAGTTGTCTACGAAACTAACATAACGAAGGGCCCCTAATGCGTATTAGGGAGTAGAAAGTAGCCTGTTTCTGACACCGGCATGACGGGTCGCATGCCGGACATCAATGACAATCTGATAAGACCAATAATGTGTAGAATTTGTGAGAAGTGAAAGTTACAAACACAGATTTAAAAACATATACCTTCAGAAAATCAAGCTTCTTAGCAGGCTCATTCAGTGGTTAGTGGTGTCAAAAGAGCTTTCTTGAGAAATGAAATCGAAATTTCGATTGTACCGAATAATGCTTGTCTCTCCATTCAAGGCGGAAAGCATAATATTTATGTGGTAAAATTGGGTACCCACACACGCTCTAAATAAGCCTTATCATGAGTTCATCTATACATATAAATAAAATTGGAGTGTCTGTTTGTAACATTAAAATAACCACTTTTTACTACATGCATATGAATATATATATGGTACATACACCAAAATAACATTTTTTACAGTTTTTGTTTATCTGTCTGTCTCTGTCTGTCTGTTTGTTCTGGCTAATCTCTGGAACGGCTGAACCGATTTTGGCGAGACTTTTACTGAAAGGTAGCTGATGATATAAGAAGTAACTTAGGCTACTTTTTTAGATTAGCTTCGCTCCGCGGTGTCACCCGAGGTACTATAATAACCGCGGGTAACATCGCGGGACTCAACTATCAATAGTAAAATTTAATGTAGGCGAAACGAGGGCGGGTCACTAGTCAGTAATATAATCATAAAAAACGTGTCCATTTGTGTGTTCGGCAAACAGTTGAATCCTGACGTAAACGCCTTCCAACGTAAGTTCGTCAATGAGGTACGTCGCTGCGATGAGATGGAACGTAAGCTCCGTTACCTGGAGAAGGAGATCAGACGTGACGGGATCCCCATGCTGGAGATCCCCGGAGAGTGTCCCGAGGCGCCTCAACCCAGGGAGATGATCGATCTTGAAGTAAGTTTCGAAGAGAAGTTAGATGTTGTCATGTAGTGATTGTGTTTGTATGTGCGCAGTTTTTTTTTCAGACTTTGTAATTAAATAAAATTTAGAAGTACCAATTGATTTCAGTAGATGCCGCCCAAATGTGAACTTATACTTGATAGTGGTGAGAGAGCGTGTTATAAGAACTTGCCTAACTCTATCCTGCTTAATTTTCAATTGCTATAGACCTGTTGAGACTCTATAAACACCATAACCTGACCCACACACCTTCAGACATTGGTCGAAGTATAAATTGTATTATTTAATGGATGTTCCACTCTTCAAAATGGAACGTATGATTGCTTCGCATCAATAATATACAAGACATTGGTGCGGGCACAAAATATTAACATAGTAAACTCAAGTTTTTAGTGAAAATCAACGACATTCCATTACTGCCAACAGGCCCCTATGAATGCCACACGCATCATCAGCTTATCTGATCATTCATTTTTTTTTTGTACTTACCACGAATCCCAAGCACGTGTGTAATCTAGTCTTAAATACTACAGGCGACCTTCGAAAAGCTTGAGAATGAGCTGCGAGAGGTTAACCAGAACGCTGAAGCTCTTAAGAGGAACTACCTCGAGTTAACAGAATTAAAACATATTTTGAGGAAGACTCAAGTTTTCTTCGATGAGGTGAGTCTTAACAAAATAACGCCAAACCAATCGCGGAGTCGGTGACGTTGCGCGATATTTAATCCAAGACATGTATGGGGGAAGGGGATATGGAACTTGCACTATTCTAAATTTCTAAAAGTCTTAGGTAAATGTTAATATTAAGTTGGTTAATAATAAGGGCGAGTTTAAGCCAAGCGCTTGTCTGTCAATGTTAACATTACCAAGAACAAGACCTGGCTGTATGGACTAAAGTTCTTTGCCTTTCCCATTAGGGATAAATTAATATGATCATCATCATTATGTTAACATTTAATCCCTCCACTCACCAACGGGGAAGATTCACAGCATTTACCTGGTATTGAAAACAGGCATTGTCTGATATTTAAATACTGAGAATTAAAAGATTAATCAATGTCTATTGTTTGTATCATAACCCCTTGATCCACTCGTGTTTGACTGGTGTAATGAATGCTCAGAAGTCCGGTTTTATTAATTAATTTTCAACGTCACCAGTAATCGTAAATTTTACAGCGGATAAGATAATAACGTTGGTAAATCCTCGTGATTTGTTAACATTTTACTTCGAGCAATTAATTATGGACGTAATATTAAATTATGTTTGGATTAATTACGTCAAGCTCACGGCGTACAATTAGGTAAATCATTATCCATCACGATGAACGATGATTGGTTCGAAATGTTTTATTTGCGAGGGATGAGCTAATTAAGAATTATCCAGTGAACGGCTCTGGCACTAGTTTTAGTGTGGCCGAGGTCATGTTTGGTCAATGTTGCTGTTGTAGAAAAAAAATAGCTCCACGATCGATGTTTACGTTTTTAGTTCTGCCATCAAAAACAATATTATTTTATATTTCTTTCAAGCAATGTTTCATATTATTTTATTATTATTTTTTGTATTAATTTTCTTGACAGTCAATTATGTGATACGTAGTCAGCACAATAATATCGATTACTAATTTATGTTTCGAACACGTTTTTGTTACCTACTTTTTGTTATTTTTAAAGTTCAATATTTTCTCTAAATAGATTCTGAGATATATTTTGTAAATTTTTGATAAAAAAAATCCCGCTATGATTTTAAGTTTACCATTATTCGAGTTATGACGTAAACGTCAATGTCACACTTTCGAATCTAGTTTAATTTTAGACAATGGAATCCATTAGTGGACCGTCTTTAAATCGAAATGCTTCGGCAGTTGAAATATTTTCGGAATCAATCAAAATTGTCCGCTCGGTGACTATAATTTTCACGGTCGATACGAACGTGACATTGACAATTCGGCATGTTGTTGACTATGGCGCCTCACTGGCGCTTGTTTGTAAAAGATGGCGGATCCGTCGAGGGAGGAGGAACAAGTCACCCTACTGGGGGAGGAGGGCCTCATGGCGGGAGGGCAAGCGCTCAAGCTGGGGTATGCTCCGATTGCTTATTGACAGCTCGTCCGACGCGTTTTGACCCCCATTCCGATGAGAGTCAAAGCATGTCCTAGAGCGTTATTATTTTTGCAGCGCTTGTACTGTGACGCTGACGTGGGAGTCTACCGATCACCACTCAGGCAAGCATTGGAGTCGGCCGGTTTATAGTATTATCATCATTAACACCTCTTGAATTCTAGTGTGATGGAATGTTAGCTTAGTGGCACAGCCAAACTCAGTCTTCCTTTATGTCAAATCTAATAATCGTTAGCATTAATAATATGCCCCTGACGTGCTAAACAATTGCTGCCTGAGTGAGTTTTTTTTTTATTATTTTTATTTTATTTTTCGACTAACTCAAAAAAAAAAAATCGTTTTATTTTTGAAGTCCATGAGTGAACCCGTTTTCGGATCGGCCGTATCAATCAAATCAAATTGTACTTGTCGTGTTTTTATTGTTCTCTTTTTTTGTTTTAATGTTCTCATACAGTCATGCTTTTGTATGTCATATTGTGCATGCCTTTTTTATTTTTTATCTATTCATGTGTAAGTAGTTCAGGACACAAAATCGAGACAATGTCCACATTGAAAGTTCCTTGCGAAACGACACCGTATTATGGCCGCAATACTCGAAATAGACACTTACTAACAACGCATAAAAGCTTCATAGAAACACGATAGCTATAATAATATAGGAGCGAACGCCGCGTTCATTTTTCAGTTGAATGGCGCTAATTTTTTCCTACAACAGGCACTGGGGGTATGTCGTTTATTGTGTGTCGTCAAACGGGTGGAATGTACGTTTGTCTACATGTTTATGTTTGTTCTGAATGTAGCACGAGGGCGGGGCGAATACTACCGAGTCGATGACGCGGGCTCTCATATCCGACGATCCTAACAGGCATATGGGCCATGTTCAGCTCGGGTATGTATGCGTGTACATACAGCACTATTGGCACACGTAACCTCCACCGATTTTGTGAGCGCTGCGGCGTGAAAGATGAGATTTGAATTGATCGGTCTCGTTATAATATGTTAGATGCTTTGAGACATTCTGCAGTCGTCGTGGCCTAAAGGATAAGACGTCCGGTGCATTCGTGTCTAGCGATGCAACGGTGTTCGAATCCCGCAAGCGGGTACCGATTTTTCTAATGAAATACGTACTTAACAAATGTTCACGATTGACTTCCACGGTGAAGGAATAACATCGTGTAGTAAAAATCAAACCCGCAAAATTATAATTTGCGTAATTACTGGTGGTAGGTCCGCACGGGTAGGTATTACCACCCTGCCTATTTCTGCCGTGAAGCAGTAATGCGTTTCGGTTTGAAGGATGGGGCAGCCGTTGTAACTATACTGAGACCTTAGAACTTATATCTCAAGGTGGGTGGCGCATTTACGTTAAAGTTGTCTATGGGCTTTAGTAACCACTTAACACCAGGTGGGCTGTGAGCTTGTCCACCCATCTAAGCAATAAAAAAAATGCTATTTGCTTTGAGACAACAGTGAAGCGCGCTATATAGCGCTTAAGGTTTTAAGTATTGTTAAAATTGTTGTCCCTAAGACATGACGTGACCGATTTGTGGGGTATGGGTTAACCGTTTGATAATGCGTTTGAGGCTTGAACCTTTCGTCTCAAGGTGGTTGGGCGGTATTTGTGTTTTTAAAAAAGGGGCTTCTGTTAATCGCTTTATACCAGATGGCCCAATAAAAATGGTTACCCCAACAACAAAAAAGGCACTTTTTAAAGACACGATCCATAATAGCCAAGTCTGCTGATGATGATATTGGATAGGATTTTGCGGACGCGTGCACGAACTGTCCGTGAAATTCTTGTCGAGACGAGGCGATCAATCGTGACTCCTCATTCTTGACGTTTTTATTATTTGACGATAAAGAACGCGCACACGTAACGTAAATGTGTACCTAACCGCTTCGTTGCGATGTTTAATTGCGAAGTGTGCGGTTAACCGTTTGGATCGTAGCGGTTTTTTGAGCGTTTAGAGACCACTGTGTTTTCAGTTTTTTTCTTTTTCTTAATACTATACGAACGTAAAGTTGTGTTTGTTGTTGACAATGTCATTGTCAGGTGACGGTTGCGTTTAAAAATGCTTACGACGATTTTATAAGAGAATAAATTTTTAAAAAGTAGGTCTTGGTTTATAGTATTGCCTAAATATTTACGCTTAATTTATTCCCTAGTTTACGGGATAAGCAAGAATCCTTGGAATTTCTGCCCTGGTTAGTAGTGTACATTGTAATATTCAATGTAGTTTTTTTTTTTTAATACATGGTGTACAAACGGTGTCCGGGTATAATTTATGTGGGAACATTGGTGTCTTTCTTGTCGCATATTTGAATCGATTGGCTAAGGAGGCTGAAATAATTTAAAAAATATCTATATGAAATTTGAATGGTATCACATTTGTCTTTGCGATTATATTATATTAACTTCAAAATTCAATTCGACTAAAGATGCTTAATGGTAATTTAAAAATGCCGAAACTAATTTGGATGAAAGCCACCTTGGAAACGAATCGATTCGCGTATGAGATATCGAATAACTTTTAACACTTTCACATGCTTTATTAAAAACAAAAAAAAACCTTCACTTATTTTATAAACGTTTGGAAACATATTATATGTCCGTGTAACAACACGGAATGGACTTCAAGAATAGACGAAGTATATATATAGATATATAGGGCGAAATGTAAATGCTGTTTTCTGTGCGTCCCTTCGCGCTCAAGTTTCTGTATAATATTCCATTAACCGCGCCGAAATGTGATTAAATAGCTTTGAAAGTTTCAATTGGATTAGCGAGAACGAAATGCTATCGGCTAACTCTTAACAGCGTCTTGGTACGAGTGTCTTTTTATTTCGGTTAGCCCTTTGCCTTCGAAACGTTTTTCGCTCGTGACTAGTGATGGGATTAGGTTTTTTTTTCGAAGGAAATTAAATAAGCAAACACGGTCTTTTTTTTTAAAGGAATTTTATGACCTGGTAACTAAGACCTTTAGGTCAAGCAAACACGGTCACTGCTTGAGTTATTGCGTTAAGTTGTGACCCGAGTGTCGCGTTTCGGAAGTAAAGGGTTAATCTTTTTTGTTGGCATTTGATTCGAACAATTAAATAAATGTTCAAATCTGACGTCAACGATATGTACATAGTTTTAGTATTATAATGTTATTCATTCACAATATTCATGTATATGACCTTAACAACGGATATAATATTATTATTAATCTTTGAATTTTTCTGAAGTCCGACCGTGGTCGTGATAGTACTGAGTTTCGTCAGGGCATTTTGTTTCGCGTTTAATTATTTGTCTTATTCATTAAAATTCTTAGCATCCCAAGGATATGTCGTATTGCAAGTAGGGATGTAGCAACCCAAAAGCAAAGGGCTTTAATGTGTTAAATCGATGCCTGCTAGAAGCGTTGTTGAACAAGATTTAGAACAGTAGAAATCTGGTTTTAACCGATATCGTGTCATCAAAACGTACGTGACGATTTATGTATTGTACATAAAGTCATAATGTTGAAGCGGTTTTAGTGTTTCAGCCTTGAGATATTCGTATAAGGTTGTGATAAATTTGTTTAAGACGCACCATATCGGTAGTGCGCCTGCGTAATGGACTAATCGATGTGCGAAACCACGCCAATTGTGTATTTGGCAGTTACCGTTGTCACGTCCCCAACTCTGGAATATCGATTCTGTTATCTGATCATGTTCTGCCGCATATAGCAATACCCACCTATTTATATTAAAATGACAGTTTATTAACAAAAAACTGAACATTCATGAGCTTGCTATTTATATTAAACCTATTTACCTATTTACCACCTATTTACCACCTATTTATATTAAAATGACAGTTTATTAACAAAAAACTGAACATTCATGAGCTTGCTATAACATCATGTAATAAAAATGATACCCGCAAAATTATAATTTGCGTAATTACTGGTGGCAGGACCTCCTGTGAGTCCGCGCGGGTGGGTACCACCACTCTGCCTATTTCTGCCGTGAAGCAGTAATGCGTTTCGGTTTGAAGGGTGGGGCAGCCGTTGTAACTATAGGTACTTGAGACCTTAGAACTTGTATATCAAGGTGGGTGGCGCATTTACGTTGTGGATGTCTATGGGCTCCAGTAACCACTTAATACCAGGTGGGTTGTGAGCTCGTCCACCCATCTAAGCAATAAAAAAAATATTGCTTGCAAATTATTATGCGTAGTGTGCGTAATAGCGGTCTCTAGAGCGCGACTCCTTACTAACACGAGTTATAGCCGGCCATAAATTGGCATCGATATTCGCAAACAAATGCTAGAGCTGAACTTGTAGGTTTTTTTAAAGGCATCACGCAGTGCGTGTTGCCACAGACAAAGGTAAGGAAACGGAATAGTAAAGGAAAATAATTTTACATCGGACGAAATTTACATCGGGTAAACGATAAGATCGGCAGGATAAAAAACTATCTCTAATACTACATTGTAGAAAGGAACAGTAATTAAACTAGAAGATTGCACAAAGTGGGAATGAGTTGCTCGCTCCGGGCATTTCAATATTGTTACGTTATAATACATCTTGTAAAAATGAATATTTAAGAAAATCTAATATTAAAAAAAAGGACATGCCTGCTGAGTTTCTTGCCAGTTCTTCTCAGGACGGAGGATAGTTTTTGTGAATTGGCGGTAGTTGTTTTTGACGTTCAACAAGTGTGTACTTTCATTTATGTTGAATTTTTTTTTTGATTTGATTTAATTATTAAGTCAGATAGTCTATTTGTATACGAACTTGTAGGTATAAGTGTAATAATACGTAGGGATTTATACATGTCGATAAACAGCAGGACAAAAACAATCGATTCCACAGAACGGTATTGAGATGACTGATAAACTTCAGACGATAACCGGTATCTCTAGTATAGAATTTAAGGGGGATTAGTGAATCAGTGCTCCTCTAATAAATCTGTTCAACGCGAAGACAGGCAAGGTTTTTAGAACACTCGAACTAATCTTTCCGTGTCGTTTGATATATTATATTTAATGGTTTCTTTGGAAACGATAACTTGTAACTATACTAAGACCTTAGAACTGATATCTCAAGGTGGGTGGCGCATTTACGTCGTAGATGTCTATGGGCTCCAGTTACCACTTAACACCAGGTGGGCTGTGAGCTCGTCCACACATCTAAGCAATAAAAAAAGATTTTGATTTTGGTGCATTATTATTAACAATGATGTCTAACATTTTGTCACCCTCGTTGGTCGCGATAAGGCTTTGTGTGAAGATACCACAGTGCTCACATCCAGTATACTGTCAGAAATATCTTGACCATGTTAACGGCATGTCTGTGTAGCATAAGTTCACAATGATTTTTTTTAATCTGCAATCGTCTTCACTGTTCTCTTCGGTTGATAACTTAAAATGACTCTCATGCCATCTATAGTACGACAATGATACTAATTTTTGTTTAAATTACCGCATTTGCAATTTTACAGGACTGCCATTTAGAGTTTAAAATTTGGAAAAAATATATAATAATAATAAATAAAACTTCTTGAGATATTTAAATATACTTAATTGGGTAAACTTAATTGAAGTTCGATTGAAAACATCGAATTGTTTAATACCAAGTAAAATGGACCTTTAATTACAAAGTTAAATGTCGCGTATCAAGCGAAATATCGCTTAACCCAAATAGCCTATTATAGCCCTCGATGTAGAAACAAAGAAATACGCTATACGCTACTGGTGGTAGGACCTCTTGTGAGTCCGCACGGGTAGGTACCACCACCCCGCCTATTTCTGCCGTGAAGCAGTAATGCTTTGTAACTATATTGAGACTTTAGAACTTATATCTCAAGGTAAGTGGCGGCACTTACGTTGTAGATGTCTATGGGCTCCGGTAACCGCTTAACATCAAGTGGGCCGTGAACTCGTCCACCAACCTAAGCAACAAAAAAATAATTATATAATGTTGATTGTGATTACTTAATTAGCTGTCGTTGAAAACGTTTAGTGTTGTAAATTACAAAGAAAAATGTCTTATGAACGCGAAATATTAAATTCTTGATTTTCGTCTCGTCACGTACGTGGCTTAAATGCGATTATACATTATGTTGACTGACATAAGCACATATGCACGCGATTCCGGGATTTGTGCTAATAATTATAAACCCGAATTTAGTTTTTGTCTCCCCATGATTATCATGATTATTATATTATACAAGCGGTCCGCTCCGGTTCCGCTCGGGTCTTTAACAAAAACTTCAACGATATTTGACATTGTTTTATTTTTTAAAATAAAAGAACACTTATTGCGGCATAACTATAATAGTTAGACATATGCTGTTGCGACACTTTTTGTAAATACATACTAATGTGTTCTACAAAGTCGTAGAAGATTATTTTATTCTATCATCAATAGTTTTCGCAAGGGCACGCAATGTAAATAATATTTTAGGTAATTTTTTTACACCTTGGGTTAGATATTTGGAGTTTTAGTAAGGATCCCTGATTTTTTTTCAAATGTCACTCGGGAATAGTGTAGCTTCCAAACAGTGAAAGAATTTTTCAAATCGGTTCACTAGATCCGGAGCCTATCAATACAAACAAACAAACAAATCTTTCCTCTTTATAATATTAAGTATAGATATATTATAATTTGAGAGTTTTATCTCGCCTAGTAACAGAAATCGACATAATTTCTTGAGTGCGCCGCGTAGGTCACCGGTGAAATACATGGCTGTCAAAGGGCTAATTTATTTTATCTTCGCGAACAACCGAACGAAAACTATTGTTTGCCCTTTTTTTCTTTTTATTGCTTGGATGGGTGGACGAGCTCACAGCCCACCTGGTGATAAGTGGTTACTGGAGCCCACAGACATCTACAACGTAAATGCGCCACCCACCTTGAGATATAAGTTCTAAGGTCTCATGTATAGTTCCAATGGCTGCCCCACCCTTCAAACCGAAACGCATTGCCTAAGACGACCCCTTTACAATATTAATAGCACCAGTCAGTCCTCTGTCCCGGTCACCGTCCTCGTCGAACCCTTCTCTTGCGACGAAGGGCTCGACGAGCGAATTAACTCACAGACACAGTCCACTGAGTTTCTCGCCGGTTCTTCTCAGTGGGTCGCGTTTCCGATCCAGCGGTAGATTCTGCGAAGCATTGCTCTTGCTAGGGTCAGTGTTAGCAACACTCCGGGTTGAGCTCACCTACATGTTAGGG